GTCCTTCCACCTGACTTTTACTTGGGGCTTAGGGTTTAGTTGTCCCCAGTGCTTCTGAAATCTGGATTCAGTTGCCCCTTTTGAAAAATTTAAAAACAAAGCTATCTGTAACTGTATATGGGGGCTAACTCCCCCTTTTTTGTTTTATAGGCTATCAGAATATAAATTAAAGGGTTTTTGAATGTCCTGAAGGGCCATAATTATGGCCAGCATTTCCTTATATTGTAATTGTAGGGACAGAAACCCATGGCAACAGCCAATTGATTTCCCCTAAAAGACTCTGAAGTTGGGCTAAGGTTAGAGAGGCTGGAATATCCAGCAAAGGCTTAAGGGGGCTGGCCTGAGTCAAGGTAAGGTGGGCCCGAGCACCTTAAAAGGAGCTACCTTTTGAATTTTATTAAGGGCTATGGTAAAACCCCCCCTTTTTTAATATGGCGAGAACCTGGGCCAGAAGACCCTCCAGGCAGCTTGGGTCTCGGTGCCCCAGAATCATATCATCCATGTAGGCATAGACAAGGGAGGTATCTGAACCCAGCACAGGCCCTAAAAGTGTGGCCACGTATTTTTGGCAGAAGGCCGGGCTATTGACCATACCCTGTGGTAGCACTGTCCATTCAAACCTCCGATCAGGCTGGGAAAAATTAAGAGAAGATATAGAGAAAGCAAACTTCTCGCAGTCATCTGGATGCAGAGGAATAGAAAAAAAAAAAATCTTTAATATCAATCACAACCAAAGTATATTCTGAAGGTATAGCAGGAGTCCAGGGCATGCCTCTTAGGGGTGTTCCTACTAGCTCCATCCTTTCATTTAGGTCTTGGAGCATTCGCCAAGCCCCAGAGGCTTTTTGAATAACAAATACGGGTGTGTTCCAAGGATTTATAGAAGGGCGGATATGCCCGAGGCTTATCTGTTCCTCCACCAGAAGGTGGAGGGCTTCAAGTTTAGGTTTGGTCAATGGCCACTGCTCCACCCAGATTGGGCTTCCTGGCTTCCACCTAATGGGAGGTACTGGAGGGGGGCAGTGGCCTTTAGGATTGGGGGTGCACCCGAGCGGGTCCCCTATGTTCTTCTCTGTAATTATGAAAGTTAAAAAAATCCCCTTCCTTAACTCCCTCTAGATCCTGTTTAAGCCTTTGTGCTTCTTCCCCATCCAGGATATCATCATAGGATGCTCGATGGTCTGTAGTGACCATGGCATCCATTTGTCTTAGCATATCTTGCCCTAGTAAATTGGCAGTGAGGTTCTTTGCCACTAAAGGGCATATCTTTCCCTGTTCTCCATCTGGGCTAGTCCATGTCATAAGGGCAACCATCTCTTTGGTCTGGGAGTTGCCCCCTACCCCCAATATCGGGGGCCCAGGTGCAAGCTTCCAGTCCAAGGTCACTTCCTCCTCCCTGAGTATGGTTCGGTCTGCTCCAGGGTCAATTAAGCAGTGAAACCTCTTTCCGCCTATGAGAATACTCATTTTAAGGCGGAGTCCGTCCACCAGGGGGACGGTCCAATGGACCTGGGTCGTCCTGCCACGAGGGTGCCTGGGCCTCACAGCAGGGGGGGTTCCTCCTTGAGTTAAAGGGGCTAGAGGATGCCGCTCCCCAAGTTTAAAGACTTCCCATCTAAATCAAACTTGTATCCCTCCCTGCCCCTGGAGCAGGGTATAGGGGGCGGTTTGCCCACAGGCCAGTTGGCAGGGGATTGTTGTAAACAATCCCTCTTAAAGTGCCCCTCCTGCCCCCATTTAAAACAAGTCCCTCTCCCCAATGGCCTTGGGGTTCCTTGGCCCTGGGCTGCCAGCGCCTGAGTAATGGCCTCAGTCATTGTAGATGCCTGAGCCTGCAAAGCTTAAGCTAGTGATTGGGACTGATGCTGTTGCATTCCCACATCCTGTGAGGCCACCACCCATCTGCTCAGGGAACTCTCTCTCAATCCCACGCAGGCCATGCGGTGGTCTGCATTCATCCCTTCCCAGACCAGCAGCTTAACAAACTGATCTCGGCTAGTTTCTAAGGATCATGTCTGCGAGTCAGGACCCGATCCAGAGACAATGGCCCCGATGGGATGGAGCCAGAAGGTGTCATCGAGAGTAACTGGAATGAAATTGTTGACAGCTTTGATGATATGAACCTTTCGGAGTCTCTCCTCCGTGGCATCTATGCCTATGGTTTTGAAAAGCCCTCTGCCATCCAGCAACTCGCCATTCTTCCTTGTATCAAGGGTTATGATGTGATCGCTCAAGCCCAATCTGGGACTGGGAAAACAGCCACATTTGCCATATCGATTTTACAGCAGATTGAATTAGATTTAAAGGCCACTCAGTCCTTGGTCTTGGCCCCCACTCGAGAATTAGCTCAGCAGATACAAAAAGTGGTCATGGCATTAGGAGATTATATGGGTGCTTCCTGTCATGCCTGCATTGGGGGCACCAATGTACGTGCTGAAGTACAGAAGTTGCAGATGGAAGCTCCCCATATCATCGTGGGTACTCCTGGCCGTGTATTCGATATGCTTAATCGAAGATACCTGTCTCCCAAATACATCAAGATGTTTGTACTGGATGAAGCTGATGAGATGTTAAGCCGTGGGTTTAAGGACCAGATCTATGATATATTACAAAAGCTCAACAGCAACACCCAGGTGGTCTTGTTGTCTGCTACAATGCCTTCTGATGTGCTTGAGGTGACCAAGAAGTTCATGAGGGACCCCATTCGGATCCTTGTCAAGAAGGAAGAGTTGACCCTGGAGGGTATCCGCCAATTCTACATCAATGTGGAAAGAGAGGAATGGAAGCTTGACACATTGTGTGACTTGTATGAAACCCTGACCATCACTCAGGCAGTCATCTTCATCAACACCCGAAGGAAGGTCAACTGGCTTACTGAAAAGATGCATGCCCGAGACTTCACAGTATCTGCATGGAGATATGGACCAAAAGGAACGAGATGTGATCATGAGGGAGTTCCGGTCTGGCTCTAGCAGAGTACTGATTGCCACTGACCTGCTGGCCAGAGGCATTGATGTGCAGCAGGTTTCTTTAGTCATCAACTATGACCTTCCAACTAATAGGGAAAACTATATCCACAGAATTGGTAGTGGTGGTTGCTTTGGTCGTAAGGGTGTGGCTATTAATATGGTAACAGAAGAAGACAAGAGGACTCTTAGAGACATCGAGACCTTCTACAATACCTCCATTGAAGAAATGCCCCTCAGTGTTGCAGACCTCATCTGAGAAGGGCTGTCATGCTACCTGGCCCCAACCAGGATTGAACCCTGGTCAGGCTAAGGAGCAGCTGGAGGGGGGAGGGGAGGGGAGCCAAGGGATGGACATCTTGTCTTTTTTTTCCCTTTTTTTTCTTTGAATAAATGTCACTTTTTGAGGCAAAAGAAGGAAACGTGAACATTTTAGACACCCTTTTCTTTGGGGTACGCTCTTGCCCCAGGCGCCGTCTCCTCCCAGAAACACTAATCCATTTCCTTAACCTAGTCACCTCCTGATCCCAGAGGCTCTCCCACCCCAGTTGGATCCCTCTGAAAATGATTCAAGGGGTTATAACATGCCAGCTTAACCTCATTTCCTGGACCAAAGCAGGGAGAAGCCTTGCATGAGGTGTCCAGGGGACTGTCCCTAGGTAGGGGGAGCAGGGGAGAGAAAATGGTAGCCATTTTTACATTGTTTTGTATAGTATTTATTGATTCAGGAAACAAAACACAAAATTCTGAATAAAATGATTTGGAAAGTGAAAAAAAAAACAAACTGATCTCGGAGGTTCCCTGCGGGCAGCTTGCGGTGAATGCTTTCTTGGACTCGGTCTATGAAATCAGGTTTTTGTCTCACTCCTGCTATGGGGGACTCAGTAGGCCCATCATCCAGTTTGTACCATGCAGCAAGTCCTGCCTGCCTCACCTGGTCACGGTACGGGCCAGGTATTGCGGCCTGTTGGACACCGGTGGAGTACCCTTCCCCCGTCCCTGCTAGCATGGCATAAGTAATAGGTATCTCGGGTTGAGCCTAACAGTTTTTCTCCGCTCGCACTCTGCATTCCTCCTTAAGGAAAGCACACCATTTAATAAACTGAGAACTAGTAAGAACGGCTTTGGCCACATCCATCCAGTCCTTAGGGACACACGGGTGATAGGCAATGTCTTGTAATAGGGTCTGGGCCCAGGGAGAGTTTGGGCCATTCTCCGCCACCGCCTTGCGGAGCTCTTTAAGATCCTTAGCTTCCCATGGATACCATTCTAAGGGCCTGTTAGCCCTTGATACCACATTGACCGGATATGCTTGGGGAAGCGAATCCTGTGGCCGAGAGTCTGGGCTCTTGGATGGCCCTTCCTTTCCAGAGGAGGTCTCCGAGTAGGATACTTTCCCGGCCCTCGGCCCCTCCAATGAAGGTGGTAGGGGTCTGGGTCTTGCAAGTCCCTCTCGCAGGTCTCCGTACCTCCCCTCCAATCAGGGGAATAAGGAGGGGGCTTAGGACCGTCAGTATCAGCTGGGTCAGAGGGGGTAATTTTTACCCTCGTTTTGACTTCTACTGTGCACGTCTCAGTGTGTTCTCGATCAGATTTGACCCTTTCCTTTTCCTTCTCACTTCCCAAGTCCTCCTGTACTCCTTCTAGGCCTAATGATGCCTCCTCCTCCTTCTTCTGTGATATAGCATTACCCATATTTAGGGTTTCACTTACCCCGAGAGACCGCTTAGCCTCGGCCGGTATCTTTTCCTTTTGTGCCCCACGTTGGGCGCCAGATGTTGGGTCTTCGTCCATCCCACAAAAGACGGAGGGGGTCCGAGGAAAGGTAAGTGCGACACTCGCCCGTTCCCTAGCCTCCCTCAGCCCAGGAGACAATCAGACACAGCGGAGAGCCAAATCCAGCAGGTAGAAAAACTCATTTATTAACAGAGAGCAGCCCCTTTTAAAGACAAAAAGGGTGGGTGGTATGGTAAGGGAGGAAGAGGAACCAATCACTGTCAAGGTCACACCCTATCATTCACCTGAGCCTTTACGGGCTGGTTAGATACTGATCAGAAGATCAGTTGGGGTCTGCCCACTCTACTCTCTCCCAGAGCCATCTTGGCTGGCCATGTGCTCTACAGTAAATTAGGCTCTGCCCACTCAACCCCCTCCCAGCGCCATTTTTGCTGCCCATGTGCTCCACACCCTGTAGTATATACAAATATTCTACTAACTTCTCTATATTTTTTGTTAGTGAAATTGATAACATAGACCTATTCTTAGGTGAATCCATTGGGGCTCATTCCATAGCAAAAATGAAATTTAAATGAGAACCCAAAGGATAGGAGTCCAGGCTTTGTAGAACCAATGCTAGGAAGGCCCCAATGCTGTAGCTGTGATTCACTTGTTAACCTTAATGTAGTAACAGTTTTATTAGATTTCTAAAATAAATTATACAATTGTAAGCACTGCAATTTTCAAAAGTTAATATTGCTCACCTTTGAAACCATTACAAATTTCCAACTTCAGTGCTGCATTAGTCAGTTATACATTCACTTTTTAAAATAACTGAGGTACGCTAGATTTATAAAACAAGAGGATAATTTAACTCACAAGGATTGAAACTGAAGTGCATGAACCGTGACACCAATTTGATTTGAAGGATATACTGTAGAAAATTTGAAAGATGTGATGGAGAGACCATATGGCTAAACATGAAGCCAAAGTTCACCTGGGCTTCCCAAATCCCTTCCAAAAGCAATTCCATATTTAGACATTGGAACTTTAATTTGACTCTAGCTGTTAAAAGTCCTGTGCCACAACATTGCTTCACTAAAGAAGAAGCTTGATAGCTTGGTCCAATATGTGAGTCTTTGGAGAATATATATCCTAACCACAACAGGGCCTATACATACATTTATGACAGGTTTTACTTCAAACACCTCAGTGCAATTAACTGAAGAATTAATTGGTATATGTGGTTTTTCTGTACTCTATTGTTATTCAGATGTTCCTGCTGCTAGAGCCCTCAATTTTGTTGTTTGATTTATATTGATCCTCTGCATTTTATTTTTATAGGAGATTCATTTTACCATTATAATTTCATTCTATTTAATCAAAACTCAGACAATACCTCTGCTTAATAAAGTGTCAGTCACACAAACAGTGTTCAATAATTATTGAATGGATGAGAACATGTATGAAAAAAGTCCTTAGGTTGCTCCTATTACTCATTAAATAACATTTATCTACAAAAGTAGCATAGAACACATAAAAGAATGTGCTTATAGAGATTCATTAGAACATGAAATGAGTATTTTTGACTAGCTACCTCTCCTTACTGGAATTATAACTAATTTTTCTACAAGCTACTTCTATCCTGCTCTTCATTTATTACCATAATTTAACTTAGTTATCATATACAGCAGAAGGCTTCATTGAATGAATGTGAAACTATGGCTCTAAATGTGCCAGGGGTAGTTAAATGAATTATAATGTGAGATTGGCCCAAGGGCTCAAGCTAAAAATTACTGAATGGACAGTTAGTGGATCTGAAAGAGGAGTACAATGGAAATTTTAAACAATTCACTGATAATCACCCAGAAGGGATTTGGGAAGTATGCTTTTATAGATAACATTCACAAAAATATTTAAAATTAATGCTTCAAAACCATCAGCCAAATTTGTTTTAATCCCTATAATATGCAGAGTATTACAGTTTTCTTTTTTAAGAGTTAGACTTCACTTTAGGCTTTCATGTTCATTTAAAGTATTGAAATGGAATGGAAATTTATACAGTCACTTTTGTGAGAATAATTTCACGACATTAACCTGGCCAAAAAATGACTACATTCAGCCAATGAATACACTCCTGATGTGATGATTCAGTATAATCATTGCCCAAGAAGCTATGATCCATTAAAAATATCTTTTCTCCTTAGTCCTACAGCAATTTGATTTTTAAATTAATAGGGATATTAATAGTAAAAGTTTTAGCCCTGCTAAACAACGATACTAAAAAAACAAAACAAAATAAAGCAAAGCAAAAACATTTCCACACAAACTTCTAATGCTGGGCTAGTATAACAGGAATTGCAAATTGAATGCACTGCTATAGAAAGCATAATAAGAAACTGTGCAAATAAAATTTAACCAGTCTTGTCCATAAATCAAGGACTTACTGATAAAATGTTACTTTTTAATCTCTTGAGTTAACTCAGGTATGTTTATTCTATTAGTATTGCATTTTGAAAATGACAGTCAATTTTACTGTGTAGTTCTTGTGGTTTTCATAATATGTTCTACAAAAATATACACATGCTTTTTCCCCTCTAAGTCCCAGAAATGGAGAGGTTTTATTTCATTTCTATCTTCAGTAATCCCATATTATTACCCTACACACTGGAGAATAATATCTTGTTTTGTATGTTTGTTAGTTCCCTTCTATTTCAAGTAATGAGGATTAATAGATCAAATCTTTTAAATATTCATTTCTCTAACACATGCATCGCATATATACTACTAATTTTAAATAAAAATAGTTAAACATGACTAGTATATATCAGTTATATAAATAATATAAAAATCTATTGCCAGCTTCTACCATCTTGCATTTTCTCATCTACCCTCCAAAAGTTGAATCAGCCTTCTGTGTTCCTTGTATTCCTACTAAATATTTCTAGGAGCAGCAGTAGCATTTAGAATCCAAAGTGTTTGTTTATAATTCGATGTAAATGTCTCCCATACTAAGAAACTCTTTATAAAAAGTGTCTTATTATATTATTATTGTATTTATATCCCAGAAATCAGAAAAATGTCCGAGAAATTAAACCTACACTCTCAATGTTTTAATGGAATTGTTTATTTCTATAGCTAGGTTTATGTTTCATTCTTAGTAGACCTTTGAATTTCTAGATTACACATATTTTTCTATGTTTGTCTATTAATATATTTCCAGATTAGATTAACATTTGAATCTATGAACTAGGTATAGTAGACTTCTCTCCCTAGGTTGATATAGTATCATCCATTTTACTGATAACAAGAGTGCAACAAAAGGCAGAGGAAGAAGAATTTCTTCCCTTCTTCCTTCCTCAATGTTGATCAGGCACAGTTTTTGTCATCTTGTCTTATGTTTTAACTATGGTATGTAATATAAACTTTATTGGTTATTAGATCTTAACACTCAGACCAAATTATGCTACAGACTTTCTTGTGTCTCCAACTTGCAAAAAGTAGATCATATGACTGTTCAATCTCCATATTTCAGGAGTTAATTATACACAATGACTGATGATTTATTTCTTATATCCCTATTAATTTGTTTTACAGAACTCTGTCTCTTATAGTATTTAAATTAAATGATCTTTACCAAATTCTGAAAAATATATATTCTAGGTGCACTTTAAATAAATTTTGAGTTATACCTAAAATAATCTGTTTGATTTTTAAAACTGGTGAGAAATTTAATTATGAAGGAGATTAAAAAGCTGCATGTTACAAAAATGAAAATATTTTGACCCTATGGTAAGGAAATTGTTTTCATTTTGATTATATGGTATTTACTTTTGTAATAGGAAGTAGAAAGTAAATTTTTGAAAACAAATTCAATGTGTCATAGCACTATATATCATGTGATTTTCTTTAAGTAAATGAGTGAAGGAGGGTGTAAGTCTGATTTAAACCTATTATATGCATATACGGACGTATAAATATAGAAATTATTGATGCTAATAAAAATATAGGAGGAAAGTTACAATGAAATACAAAATGTATATATCCTTAAGAGTCAGTTACACCATTACAGTCTTAAATAACTAAGGCACACACTTATTCTTTTCAATAAAAATTTAGAATTATATAGACATATATGTAGCTAGATATACAAATTTTAAATTTGTAATGTAATTGTACTTATAAAGTACTGAGACATAATCTTATATGGTAATCAGTAGAGTAATGCTCACTTCTCCAAATACTTCCCCTTGATTTTAATTAATGAATATGTTATATAACATGGAAAGTGGAGTTGTGAAGATGGAAGGTAGATTAGTGAACCTCAAATAGAAAATTTATCCTGGATCATCCTGGGCCCAATATAATCTATTAACCCTTAATACAATAGAAATACAATAGAAGAATGACAAGAGATATTCAAAGTGTAAGAGGGACTCAATCTAGTTTTGAAAAGCAGCTAGTCTTAAGAAAACCATAAGCTACACAATGTCAGCCATCACTAGAAGTAGGTAATAGCTATCATCTCATACCTTACAAGGAAAACTCATCCTCACAGTGACAAACACTAAGAATAAATTCTGTGAATAACCTAGACTGGGAGTAAATTTCCTCCTTGACACTACAGATAAAGCTGTATGTACTACAGATGGAAATATAGCTTTATCATTGACTTGACTAGAACCATATCACACTTCTAAGTTATAGAAAAATCAGGACACACATTTGTTTTATACCCATAAAATTGTGGCAACTTATTGAAAACTAATGAAGTTTGCTAATAGCAATAGAAAAAACAATAGATTCTACATAATGGGCATTTGCTAGGGTTAAGACACATTATATACAATACCTTGTTTTAGAATATTATCTTTAGAATATTATCTTCAAGGTTATAATCCTAACTAATCAGGAAGCTGAGTTCCAGAGGATTTCCATCAAAGCCACCCAAGCAAAAATATTCTGAGAGATTCCATCTCCAATACAAACAATAAAAAGCTGGCCTCTAAGCATGGCTAAAGCTGTAAGCAAGTAAACCAAATGGGAGTTTGAGTTCATTAGTTCGAGTCACAGTCCTACTGTCACTCCTCTAATGAATATTATATTACATTGTATTAGAATAGAAACAAATGAAGGCTAAGCTACTGTCTGAACAACCATCTAAGTGATACTAGATTATTTAAGCAAGCTGTCAAGCCATCTTTAACCTAGTATGTTAGTCTGCTTTTCAACAAGATGAAAGAACTCGTGTGAGGAAAGTATACTGAGTTAACAGTACAATTGTAAAAAATAGCTATTTGCTGAATATTATAATCTGTGATTATGTATACATGCACAAGGTACCCACTATGTACTTATTCCTCTTAATTCATACTTCAAATAAGCTTAGAAATCATTTTATTCTTACAAGCTTACTTTTCTATTTTATGAGAATTTGCCTTATAACACATTTTAACACACACATACACATATACATAACATACACATACACACACAGACAGACACACACACGCACACACACACATATATATATATATATATAGTATAGATACCTAGGGAAAGAGTCTTGTAGAGAATATCCCTAAAACCTCATTTTGCATAACTGAAATTATACCCATTAAAGAGCAACTCCCCATCTACCCTTCATATAGGAAAACAGCATTCCATTCTGCATTTCTTTGACTTTGACTATTGAACATAATGCATGTAGCATTTGCTCTCCTGTGATTGGATTATTCCACTTAGTATAAACTCCTCCAGGTTCACACCTTTCATCACTTAAGACAAAATTGCTCCCCTTTAATATAATATAATATTCCATTGTATGTGTATGTATAATTCATTCATCTATAGACATTTATGTAATTTCCCTATTTTGATTATTATGACTGATGCTGAAATTGCCTTGGGTATGCGAATATGTCTTTTTTAAGTATCTTTTATTAATTTAGGGACTCTTTTTTTGGGGGGGGGGTCCAGTCGTGAGGCCTGAACTCTGGGCCTGGGCACTGTCCCTCAGCTCTTCAGCCTAAGGTTAGTGTTCTACCACTTGAGCCACAGCAACACTTCTGGCTTTTTTCTTTTTGCTTATGTGGTGCTGAGGAATCAAACCCAGGGTCTCATGCATGCAAGGCAAGTGCTCTGCCACTGAGCCACCTTCACAGTCCCTGTAAATATGTCTTTGATAACTTGATTTCAGCTCTTATAGGTAAAGAAATATTTACAAGTGAGATGGCTTGGTTCTGCTATTTTCCATGGTACATTCCTATCAGCAGCCTTCAAGGATTCAATCTTTCCACATTATTTCCTATGCTTACTATTTTGTGTATTTGCTTAGTATTCAGTGTAAGTTAATATTTCATTGTCATTCTGATTTGCATAACCCTTATGGATAGTGATATTGAACGCGTGTTTTGCAGTCTATTGGCAATTAATATGACTTTGCTAGAAGATTATTTATTTCCCAATATTGTGGTAGTACTGGGGTTTGAACTCATGGCCCTTTCCTTGTTAGAAAAGTGACTTGGTGCTACACTATAGCCCTTGTTCTTATTTCTTTTTCTTTTATGACAGTAAGATGTTTGAACTCAGGGGGTCGTACTTGTTAAGCTAGTCTTCTGCCCCTGAGCCATGATTCCAGTGCTCACTTTCTCATTTTTAATGTAATTTTTTGAGAAGCTTTATTCTAATTAGTTGTACTACTTTTAAAAATATTTTGGTTAAAATAAACATAATTATAAAGATGCATTGTATTCATAAATGGTCATGTTGAATTGAAACTCTTTTTCACATCAACTTGAAGATAATTTAAAAAAAATTTTGCACCAGAAAAACACAGAAACAACCATATTTGAAGGAAAATTTCTAATTGGCATATTCCTCCATCTACTATCCGATTTTCCTTTCTTCTTTTCTTATAATTTTTTAATCTTTAAGTTGTGGTACAAGTGGGTTTCAATTTAACCTAGCAGTTTTTAACTACAATACATTTTGACCAATGTTATCCCTTCCTTTGTTCTCCCTCATCTCTTCTTGTTTTTAGAAAAACACTATTAAATATTTTTGTACACTTGCTGTTTCTGCTTCCATCTTGCTAACTTGAGTCCACTTCAATTGAGTACATGATCAATTAAATACTTAAGTGACCTGTGCTGTAATTCAAACTACCATATATGCCAAATACTTTTATGAATTGGACAGTATATGAAAATACAGAAAACTCAACATTCAAAAAAAGCATTTTGGATATTAACTAACATAAATTGTTCACAACTATTTTCTTATATATTGTGGATTGGCTTTTCATACCCTTATTTTCTTTGACAAATCACTCAAAGCAACTTTATTATTCATAAACAGGAAGACAAACCATTAAATCTCTAGAATCACAGCTAAACCAGTCTTTCTGGACTAAAATGCTTAGGACAAATGTAATGACATCTAGGTATATCTCTTTTAGTACTACATATGTTGGACTCTGAAAGAAATCTACACTAATATTTATGCTTCCAACACTAGTGGTCATGCTGACAGAAAGTGTTACAGGACATTTTATTCAAGGAGGAATAAGTACATACAAGGGGGTGTTCTGAATATTTATTTCTTATCTCTGATCATATTCTACAGTACATTCTACAAGTGTCCTGGGAACTACAAGGGGAAAAGAACTGAACCTCAGCCCAGGTATCTGATTATGCATCTGCCTAGATTAATTAATTCCTTGGTCTATAATTGTTAATGGTGATTTCAAATGAACATTTGTCCTATTTCTGTGACATCAATTGTAATATCTCCTCTTTAATTTCTGATTGAAGAATTATCTCTGGTTTTATTATCATATATTTGTGGTATAAATGTGTTTCATAGTGACATTTCCATACATGAGACAATGGACTCCAGTCAAACTCCCTCCATCTCCCTACATTCCTGTCTTTTTGGTAATATTGTTTGTACCCAAGATAGTCAAGTGAAGAGTTTATCAGCTTTGTTTATTTTGTCAAAAATTCTTCCTTTCATTTTCTGTCATATTCTCTTCTTTTATTTGTGTTCCTCTTCTTGGTATTAGTTTTTCCTACTAAGTTCTATTTCTAATACACTTATTTATAAATAAATGAGTGATCAGTTGTTACACCTATTTCGTTACCAATAAGTAGTACCATTCTCTATTGACTTTTGATTAAACTAGAAATGGAATGTTATTCTTTCTCCCTTCCCTAATTTTGTTCTGTTTCTTTGTCATAAAATAGACCACATAGTCCTATATGACTCAGGTTCAGGGTAACTAAAAATATATTCTCTGTACAAGTTATGTGTTTATTTCAAAATTTTCTTCAGCTATCAGGTAAGCTACATGCTTACCTCATTTAAAACAAAAGGAATTATGATAACCATATACATGTTCAAGATGCTTCAAAAATTTTTCTCTGAATTAAAAAATTTGACATGAGCAGCTTAAATTATTCTTAGAAACATATGACTAACAAATTGAAAATTTTAAGTATGAGGCTTCCTTGATTATGAATACATGTATTAGATGTGATGAAAAATGATTCCATGGGAAGTGGCATTGTAGCTCAAAGTTGTAGAATGCTAGCTTTGAGTGAAAAGCTCACAGACATGGCCCAGGCCCTGAGTTCAAGCCATACAACTGACAAACACATGATTCCATGAATATCTTTTTTTGGGGGGTCCAGTAGTGGGGCCTGAACTCTGGGCCTGGGCACTGTCCCTCAGCTCTTCAGCTCAAGGCTAGCGCTCTACCACTTGAGACACAGCGCCACTTCTGGCTTTTTTCTTTTTGCTTATGTGGTGCTGAGGAATCGAACCCAGGGCCTCAGGCATGCATGGTAAGCATGCTACCACTAAGCCACCTTCCCAGCCCCTCCATGAGTATCTTGAGAGAATTTAAAATAACAGTGTATTTCTTGTAACTTTGCTTACCTCAAATTTCAAAAACACTAATTTGACTCATCTCATGTGTGTAGTTTTTTTGAATTATGCTACATAGTTAAGATAGCCTCTTGGTTATATAAAATAAAACTCTATTTTAATATTTTCATTAACCTGTTTTATTTCTAGTATTGGGATTGATTCAAGAACTTTCATTTGCTGGACTGGTATTCTACTACTTAAGCCAATCCTCTATCTTGCTTTTTGGTGGTTAGTTGGTGATGGTGTCTCTTGAATATATATACCTGGGCTGGCTTTGATTTGTGATCCTCCAGGTCTCAGGGTTTTAAGAATGTAAATTGCAGGTATAATTCCCCTACAGCCTGAATGAATAATCACATTTAAGAATAAGTTGCTAAACTTGTTACTTTTCCCTCATTTTTCTTCTACATTCCCTCCTTGCCCTCATCACCCCCAAGTTGTACAGATCATTTCCAACATATTGTCTTGTATATATAGCTGTTTCGTTGGTTCTTTGTAACTCCTCTGTAAATCACTTTGACAATTAAAAAATGTAAAAAAAAAAAAAAAAAAGAGTAAGTTGCAGATAATTCCTATCTGTAATCCTAACTCCTAAGGAGGCTGAAATCTGAGGACCATGGTTTGAAGCCAGAAAAGGCAGGAAAGACTGTAAGTCTCTTATCTCTAATTAACCACCTCCAAGCTAGAAATGGAGCAGGGGCTAAATGGTAGAGCAGTAGCCTTGAGAAAAAAATCTGAAGGACAGTGCACAGACTCTGAGTTCAAACCCCAGTATAGGATAAGGTAAGCACTTTGTTTATGGCATAAATAGTTCAATTTAATGATCTAGGCTATCATTTATTTACTTAAATTTCATTTTAATGTTTTTTATTAGCATACATTGATTATACGGAGCAAGGTCTTCATTGTGACATATTTATACATGCTTACAATGTATATTAATCAAATTCACTCTGTCTATGTCATCATCTCTCACTTTCCACTTCTAAAAGAATTTCAACAGGTTTCTCTATTCTTGTCTATGCAAAAAATGACCGATTTTATATAATTTTTATTTACCCCCTCAGTTTGTTCTCCTTCTCAATGATACCCACACTCCCCACTAGAGTTTTGTTTATTTTAATTTTTAAATCTCCTGTATTTCACTGTTTTTATGTGTCCATCCTTAACTTAAACTCAGGACCTGAGACACTGCCCCTAAGCTTTTGTGCAGCTCCACTTCTGGGTTTTTTTGTGGTTAGCTGGAAGTAAGAGTGTCATGGAATTTCCTTCCTGGGCTGGATTTGAACCATGATTCTCAGATCTCAGCCTCTTAAGTATCTGGGATCACCAGCTTGAGCCACTGACACCCAGTGCTCTCATTCACTTTTAAAAGTGTATATTCCTTATTTCACTGTATTTCACCACAGTATTTCAGATCAACATATACTTTATTCTAATCACAATTACCTGCTATATTGATGTTTCTTTTTGTTTCCTACCCCATTTTGAGCAACATATATCATTAAAATTTCTTATGATATATTCTTACATAGTTGCAATGTATTCCAAAAATTTCAGTAAAAGAGCAGCAGTCTGGGCTTTTGTAATGCATTCTGCCTGGATCACTGACTTCATAAGATTCTAACAGGTAATTCATGGGAAATGTATTGTTGTATAAGGATATCTTTTATCATAAACATATTTCTTCCCTGTTAGATTGTTCAAAGCTTCATTATGTTAATGTTTATTATAAATCTTTAAAAATAAGGTGTATCATGCAACATTTCTCAAAGGCATTGGACTGTGGGATTCTGTTTCATGTAGCATTTTTAGAATAAATGGCCTATGATTGCTCTCTGTGAAATACTGGTTTTTGCATGGTTGAAGCCAAAAATGTGAAGGGATAGTGTAAGCATTAAGAGGTAAAAATAAATAAGAATCAAAGTATTCAAGGAATAGGAATAACTTGAGATGTGTGAGTGAGTGTATAACTTGAGATGTGTGTGTGTGTGTGTGTGTGTGTGTGTGTGTGTGTGTATGTGTGTGTATGTATAATTGCTTGATGTATTGGGAATTTGTAAAAAATATGTAATAAAAGCACAGATAAATACATGAGATGGTAATCTGATAGTCACTTTTCTTCAGAGCTTGTGGCATTACTTTTGAATATGTTACAATGAAATTAGCTAGGTATACTTAATCTTACTATGCACATAGGTAATTCACACAGATTATTAATAATAGTAACATTCTGAGCTTCAGTTCATTCTCTCTCATTTTTGTTGCTTTTTTCTAGGGTTTGAAATCAGAACCTTGCTTGGTTTTAATTCTCAGCTGGTACTCTACTACTTGAGTCATGTTTCTACTCTGGCCTTTTGCTAGTTATTCTGAAAATGGAGTCCCATGCACATTTTCTGGAGGGGTTGGCTTCAAAATATGATTTTCTGAAACTCAGTCTTCTGAATTGCTAAGATTAAATAGGAGCCACCAGCAGCGGGCTTATAATTCATCTCATTAATAAGTATAACCAATTTTCTAGTTTTACTTATGAATAAGCTTACTATTAAATTTTAAATTTCACTAATATAGAATTGGTATTCAACAAATGCCAGTTTTGTTTCCTTTCAAGGGTTTTGAATTTTTGGTGATACTGGTGTTTGTACTCAGAATTTTGGTCTTGTCAGGTAGATCAGGGTCTTTCTACTTTTTGAAACACCTTGGACCACCATTCTCCTATTTTTTGCATCCTGCGTAGTATGGATGACAGGAGCATGCCATCATGGTCATCCTGCTCTGCTCTTAATTTATCGGAATGGAATCTCACGTACATTTGCCCAGACTGGCCTTGAGTAATGGTTGTCTATATATCTTTGCCATCAAAGTAGCTCAGTTTACAGCTGAGAGTGGCCCTGGCTTATCTGAATTTGAACTTTGAATCTGAATTAACATAGAAAATTTTACGGATTTGAAGGCCAAAGTAAATCTGATTCTAATCTCACTCGTGTATTGTATCTATACATGAGGCCAATTTCATACCTTCATTTCTATTTCTATAAAATGGTAAAAGTACTCAAACTTGATAATGTTATTGAGATAATGAGGATATAATATGCCTAGCAAGCACCTTCAAAACGTAGGCTCTCACAATTGTCACTATTCTTGATTTTTAAGAGACTCTCAAATGGAAGATCAATTTATTGTGTACCAAAACACTGTAAAATTCTTAGAAGGCATTTGAGTCTTGATTTTAGTGAATAATTTTTCAATTTTCAATTTCAAAGGGGAAAATGTTATTTCAACATCAGTGAAGAGATAACTATTTTATAGTCCCTATAAGAAATTTCTTGCCATTCATTATTAGTCAGTTTAGAATTCATTTGTGTTTTATACTAGTCTGAAGTAAAATGAAGTGTAGAAAATATACTACTAATAATTAAATCTTCTGAGCATCAGATATTTGAATGTTGGGTAAAAACAATTATAAATGTATAACTCCAACTCCAAGTTTGTTAGATTATGTTTTTCTTTTCTTTTTTTCTTCTCAAACTTTCATAGAATGAAAAATACTAATTATTATAACTCCAAATTTGTTTTTGTTTTTTTGCTTTTTTTGTTTTTGTCAGTCATAGGACCTGACCTCTGTGCTGTCCCTCAGTTCTTCAGCTCAAGGCTAGGGCTCTACCACTTGAGCCACAGCGCCACTTCCGGCTTTATCTGCTTATGTGGTGCTGAAGAATCAAACCCAGGGCCTCATGCATGCAAGGCAAGCACTCTACCACTGAGCCACCTTCCCAGCCCCCAAGTTTGTTAGATTGTGTTTTTTCTTTTTTCTCAAACTTTCATAGAAAGAAAAATACTAATTATTTTCAGTGAAGAACTGATATTCCCTTCTGTGCAGTCAGACAATATCAGGATTGCCTGTGTATAAGTGTGTATGCATATTCTACTAGAGTACAATGGGCAAGCGGATTTACAGATTTTACTTAGTATCTTCTAGGTTTAAAAGAAATCTTTGAATGACTGACGTATTCCTAGCTCTTCTATTGACTGCAAGGAAAATTCTTTCAGTTAAGTTATAAAGCTCAGGAAATAGAGTTTTATAATGGCAAAGATGACAGACTTATAACTAGAATGGTATGAGCACACCATTATAATTTTGCTTTTTTTGTCTAATTCTGACAAGAGTCTCCATAGATCATGACTAATGGAACTCCAGAGGTTTCAACATTTCTGAGAGGGGCCACATAATTCAATGAGAGTCTGGTGAGTACCCAGTGTATATGTCAGGAAAAAAAGAAAGGAAGTTGGCATTTTTCTCAACTGTGTCAGTTCTGTATTAAAAACAATATAGGAAAATTAAGAAGAAAACAATGACCAGTGGTACATGATTCTGTATGGAAATTTTTTTTTGTAAGCCCTACACTTTCCCTGCTCTATCACTTATGTTTTCTGAAGTTGTTTGTTTTCTTTTAAAACTTCATATATCAGCACAAATTTCTTTTTCTGAAGGGAGAGGGCAATGGGGTATAAGGGCTACATGGAAATATTGACCATATGGTTATAAAATATCAGAATCCTTAGTGTCATATTTCTTTTTTATTAAAACAGCTACTTTTAATGACTTTGCATCTAGGAAACACAGAAAAGGCGAATAAACATAAATTCATGAATGATGGTCAAACAAATTAAGCTTACTTAATTGGCCAAAAATAAACACTCCAAATACCTAAAACATGAGTAGAAACACAGTAAATTCTTGTAAATATCCCTCATAAAAATAGTTCAAAATCCTTGGAAATGACTCACAAATAGACATAGATATTAAAAGTCACATCAGAATTGGCAACTCCTATCAGCATGATGTATAAAATTACAAATACCTGAAAAACTTCTACAATCAAAAATATTTATTTCTGATTAATTTATTTCAGTCAATGCCCCTAGAGTGTGCAGCTATCTGAAACATGTTTGAGAAACATTAGTGCTTCTCTCTCTCATTTTTAGGAGCTATTGCAATGTGTTTCTTTTTTTGTTTTTTTAATTGTAAAAATGTTGTACAGAGGGGTTACAGTTACATGAGTAGTGTAATGAGTATATTTCATAGTAAGTATTGTTATCTCCTCCTTTATTTTCCCAGTACCATCACTTCCATCCCAGCCTCCCCAACTTGTCCCGCCCCTCACACTACCCCAACATTGTAACGTTCGTTTTCAATATAGTGTCCTGTACAACTCGTCATCACAATGGGTCAGCGTGCATCACCATTTAAGCGTTCTGCAATATCCTTTCTCCTCCCCAAATTACAAAAATGTATACAAAAGGTGCAGAACACCTGCATCAAATCCAGTGAAAACAGCGCTTATGCCATGGGAGAAGAACATACAATAGAAACAAAAGAATCACATAGTGTATTGTAAGTACATTAAAAACACTAGCAAGAAAGAAAAAAAACCTCTTGTATCCCTGTCTTGGAGTACACTTTGCTTAACATTATCTCATGTGGTTGTATGTACATGGCCTTTAACCTTCTCTGCTTGCCCTAGACATGTCCTAGTCACTGCAAACAAGGGAAACCATGGGACATATGTTTCTTTGGGCCTGGCTTACTTCACTTAATATGATTTTTTTCCAAGTCTTTCAATTCCCTAACAAAAGAAGCAATGTCATTCTTACTGATGGAGGCATAGAATTCATATATATATATATATATATATATATATATATCACATTTTTTTGATCCATTCATCTACTGAGGGTCATCTGGGATGGTTCTATATCTTAGCTATGGAAAATAATTCTGCGATAAACATGGTTGTGCTGGTAGCTTTGGTATGACTTTGTTTGTGATCCTTTGAGTAAATGCCCAAAAGTGGGATTGTGTGTCATAAGGGAGCTCTATGTGGAGTCTTCTGAGGAACCTCCATACTGCTTTCCAAAGTGGTTGAACAAGTGTCATATTTCTGCTGTCTTTACCTCACCAATTGATAGTCATCATCTTTCTCTAAGATATATTTAATAAACATATTATGAAGAAATTCAGTAATCATCTTTAGACATTTGTCTGTTTCCTCAAACAGAAAATTTTATCAAATGACTTGGAAAAATTATGACACTGTCACCAAGAAGATAAGATAAATTTTGGTTGGCGATAGCTCAAAAAATGATATCCTACAAAGGGAGTTTGTGTAGAAAGAATTATTGACTTTAGCTTTAATTTCCAAAAATATTTACAGGATGGATATCTTTAAAGTTAACCTAATTCAGTAGGAAATGGTTTAGAAATTTGGTGATAATTTTATTAAGAATATTATAGAAGTTTTCAAAGATAACATTTTTGTATTACACAATGTTCTGTGACTATAAGAAAATATTTGACATAGACAACATATGACAAAGAAAAGTTAGTTAGATCACAGTTTTAGATGAAAGTCTAAAGTTTTATTATGAAAGTCTAATATTGGCTAGACTCATTGGTTTGGCTTCTGGTGAAGATGACAGATTATGGCAATATTGCAATGGAAGCAAATTTTCATATCTATGAAAGAAAGGATCAGAGAGAAAGGAAGGCTTGAATGGGACCATACATTCTCATCTTGTAATACTTTTGTGAGAACTATGTCATAAAATGTGAGAAAAAGTCTTTATACAATTATCTCAAAATCCCAATGACCTAGAGTCCATCCCTAAACTCTAAAAGTTCCATCACTTCTCAGAAGTACAACCCTAGGGCCCTATTACTTTTAAATTGACATTTGAATAATATTCAAAATATAACACATAACATGGGAAAATAAAAATGTAACTACACATAATAAAGGTTGTAAATGTCAAATGCAAATATAACATGAAATACAATAGTGGAAAGTTGATGTTCTTCCCCTAAGGTCAGGAACAAAACAAGGAAATTCATTCTCATCACTTGAACTTAGAATACTATTGTGAATTGAAGGCAGATAAGTTAGCTAATAAAAGGTTACAGTCAAATAGACACCATTACTGTCATCAACAAACAACTTATAGAATGGGAGAGAAATCTTTGTAAGCTATTATTTGAACATAAGATTGATATTCACAACATACAAACAGCACAAAATGCAACATCAAAAGAACAGATAATATAATTAATCAATGGGCAAAGAAATTGACCTGAAAGTTCTCAGAAGAAATATAAATGACTAATAAATATATTGAGAAACTCTCAACATCTCGGGCAAAAAAGGAAATAAAAACAACATTTAGGTTCCATCTCATTGAAGTCAGAGTGACCATTATCAAGAACCCAAACAACAACAAATGCTAGAGAGGATACTGGGGAAAGTAACATGGCCATACTCTTGCTGGGAGTGAAAACTAGTACAACCAGGGAAGGCAGTGTGTAAGTTCCTCTGAAACTAAAAATGGAAATTCCAAAAGATTTATTACTGCTACTCTTGGAAATATATCCAAAGAAACATGTCAGGATATAGTAAAGGCACTTGCACACTCATATTCACTTCAGCACTAGTCACAACAACCAAGTTACAGAACTAAATACCTGATAACAAGTGAGTGGATATAGAAATGTGTCATGTTTGTACAGTGGAGCATTACTCAGCCATTAAAAATAAAATTATATTGTGTTTTGGAAAATTGATGGAAGGGAACTGAAGATCATTATATTAAGTGAAAGAAGTCAAACTCAAAAACAACAAATTTTACCTATGTAAAATCTTGATATATAAGAACATTAATAATAAAAATGTAATTATTACAAAAGGTGGACTGTTAAGGGGAAGCAGAAAGAGAAGGAGGAAAGGAAAGGATGATGAGGGGGTGAATTTGATAGAACTACATTTTGTATGTAGGAAAATAGCATAATGTACACCACTACATACTGTTATTAAGGAAGGAGTATAGAAGAGGAATGATAAAGATTAATAGCAGACAGGTAATCAAATGTACTTATCAAAATACTTGGGTGTATGTAAATAGAGCAACAATACCCTTTTGTACAATTGCTTTACACTGAAATACTTATAAAATCTTCTATTAGCTTTATATTTTTCTCTGCTAGAAAAAGAAATGCTTGTGAGGTATCAATACTACTCCACTGTTTTTCTTTTTTTTAAATTAAATTAAATTTTTTTTGTGAACATACTGTACAGAGGAGTTGCAATTACATGGGCAAGATAATGCATACATTTCTTATCAAGCATTGCAGCCTCCTCCTTTGTTTACCCTTCACATCCCTTCCCTACCTCCCCCCTGCCTCCCACCATCCAATCCTCACCCCTCCCCCCCCAATCAACATTGTAAAGCTCGTTTTCGACATGACCTTGTACTAACGTTGCCATTGCTCCTTCAGAAACCTTTCTCATAGTACAGACATCACTGATACACAGTTACTCTCAGTAGGTCAAAGATGCCTACTCTTTTGTGATGAAATATGGGAGAAAGAATCCCATTGTCCCAACCATTCTTTGCAAAATTCACTAACCATTCTATGATAGTGTACATTTTCTGTTTTTGAAAAAAGTATATCAGCCAACAGCAATTTCAATGTTTTATTCTAATCTTTGGACAGGACTCAGGTATTATTCAAAATAAATTGAAATTATTGTGAATAAAATAACTATATCCATTCCATTTATCATAGTGTCATAGTGTTGTTTAAATATTTGATTAAAAATGAGTGAAACTGGGATGGGAATGTGACTCAGTAGTATAGT